CTTTTAGTGATGTAGACTGTCTTGTATTAACAAGTTTGAAATTTATTGGTAAAGCTACACAGAAAGTAATATTATCACCATGGTAAAGACAGGATGACTGAAATGTGAACCATCTAATGAGCAATTTGATAACATAGATAAATGAAAAACGAAACCTGCGCTTTGTTGTATTTAGTGCTTGCAAGACAGTATCTAACAATTAAGAGCTGTGAAGGCCAAAGAAATAGAAAATACATGGTTGATGTCGGGATGGAGAAGGTTTATCCGGTGAGCGAGAAAGTGTATCTTGGCGAGCTTTAGCGAGCCAAGATTCACTTTCGCAGCGAACCGGATAAACCTTCTCCATCCCGACAGCAACCATGTATTTGATTTATCTTGCTTTTTATCATGTTTTTAGAATAATTAAATGGTTTCATTCTTCATTTTCACCGATAAAATAGCATCTATATGCAGTTTTGTTTTGCTGCTGTATTGTGACGTCATCATATGATAATTTCTTTATCCTGCTACTGTCTATATCATCAGCTGGATAAAGCCTCGCCGGATAAACTTATCTATCTCCAGTCATTACGTCATATGATGACGTCACATATTTAGCAGCAAAACAAAGCTGCATATAGAAGAATGAAACCATTTAATTATTCTAAAAACATGATAAAAAGCAGGATAAATCAAATACATGGTTGATGTCGGGATGGAGAAGGTTTATTCGGTTCGCTGCGAAAGTGAATCTTGGCTCGCTAAAGCTCGCCAAGATACACTTTCTCGCTCACCGGATAAACATTCTCCATCCCGACATCAACCATGTATTTTCTATATAGCGACTTTCTGAACATTTTAATTGATACATTTATATAGAATATAATACTATTGTCTTAGAGTGTACATTAAATATATCTAACCGAACTGCTTCTTTAGGCGAAGCTGCAATATACTTCCACAATCGTTGACAAAACATTGATATCTGACTGTAGGATATTCACGAACATCAAAACAATATAGATAAAAAATATGAATTATATAACAGACATTTTTGTCTTATTCATTGTAGCGCTGGACAAGACAAACGTAAATAACAATGAGTAAGACAGCATAAGAAGTTTAACGGATACGCGGACGGTGCAAAGACATATGTAATTCAAATTTGTAGTCATTGTTGCAAAGTAATTATTAACAATTTTAGAGAAATAATGATTATTATTTGAAATGAGAAATATGTAATTGAGGACTAAACGCTTCTGCATATATTTTGATATGACGACATTAGTAAAGACATGCTAGTATAAGCATTAGACTATAAATAAGCACATGAATGAATATGAAAGACTATTTTTACTATTAACAATACTTATTTTAGTTATGTGATCAACAATATATATTTAATTGTAGCTTCATCATTAAAGTTATTGAACCCATTATAAGAAATAATATTTTGCTCGCATAATTAAATGTTAATCAAGTCGTTCAATAAATTCAGTACTGAACCTATCTATTGTATGCTCATTCGATATGTTCCATTTACTACACTGTCGGATTAATGTTTTTGTATAGATGGATGGATGGATGGACGTTCCAGCATTTTGGCTTTAGGGGCTATTTTCTTTGTTATTTTCTTTGTTTTCTTCAGGGCTATTAGCCCCTAAACCCTTTGACCACCGAATGAACTTATTGTTCTCTTTTGTTCTCTTTACTGTTATATAGCCCCTTAACCGAAAAAGTTTGCTTGGACAAACGTTCGGACGGACGGGCGGACAAGTGCAGCGCTATATTCTCCCAACTTTGTGGGGCATAGTTCAAATATAATATAGAAACATTATTCTTTACTGATGTACAAAGTATATCTGTGTTCTTTACACAACTCATGGCAAATGCAATTCAAAATATAAACATGACACATTTAAATAAAATATGAAATGCTAACATAATTACAGGATGAGTTGTACAAATACTTATTACATGTATGAATCCAATTTAGTGCAAATTACTTATTATAATAACTAAAGAAAAATGTATAACACAAATGTATCACTTATCAGTAAAACAAAGATATATGTATGTAAACATAGTTTATTCATTGATTATCAATGTTTTTAAATTCAAACTTTCACCATGTTCATGTTTTAACAATGAATTCTGCTAAAGCCGGTTTTAGGGGTCGTGGACGGCAATTTGCACTTGACAGTACTGTCTATGAACAGGTTCAATCAAACTGCGCCTGCAACATTTTCAATTGTGCTGTTTTGAACTTTCTTTATGAATTCTTATTTTTTTTATTTCACAAAATACATCTGTGTACTATACTACACAACTTATGGCGAATACAATTAAGCATTACATTCTTGATCAATGTAAACGGGTCACAGGTTAGAAAGAAAGTGATTTATTGTTTATGTAATAGTTTATGAATGTTGAATAAATATAGATTAGGAAGGATTTGCCTTGAGATATTTTTATTCGTAGCAAATTATTTTCCTGATTTAACTCGTTAATTGACGAGTATAATGAGTCATTTTTTTAATTCATATCTCCGACTTCAGGAACTAAGCGTTCATTTTGCCTATCAATGTCATTGTCATTTTTCATATTTCTAAGGAAAGCAAACATATCAGAGTCTGTATTACTTGTACTATAAGACTTATTTAGTGCATTTTTATTGTCATTTATCGGTCTATTGTTAGGGAATGCCGCCTGTGAATATTTTTACGAGGATATGATCCGCTGTCTAGTCACTACACCTTCACGACTCCCGGTACCCGGGGTTAGCACATCAGCATGCCCACTGCATGAACCATCAACCCCTGAATGTCTTTATAAGGAAAGGTTTAAAGGACTGGTTTAACAAGTGTCATAATAAGAAGTATTGAAAATTAAAGAAAACCTTAACTAGCTTCCGAAGTTTCTCGTAGGTTTTCTTTTCCTGAATATGCTTATTCAGTCAATGATATTATATCATTTAAATGAAATATATTATTAAATACATTTAATGTATGAAATCTGTTAGAAAAGTATCCGGAATTGTTTCATTATTTATTTATTTACAAACATATCTAGATAAAATATTCAACACTGTTACTTTGGCGGATGATGCTTATGATCCGGTTGACAAAAATCACCATTTGGATTTATACACATTCTACAGTACGTTGAGTCGGGACAACTTTCTTCTGGATAGGATACACCGCGTCAGGAAAATCTGTCTCACGCATCTTAATCTGACACCTTTTCTACACGATACACACTTCTCCAATCTAAGACTCCACTTGTCAAAGCAGGACTTGAACTGATCTTTGGGAATGTTACGAATCATTTCTCGAACAAAAATTGGCAAATCATGAAAATAGTAACAAAAGAATATTAATTTCTTAATTTAGTGTCGATTGCATCCTATAATCAAAAACATTTAGCTACGTTAAAAATACAATAACCAGTCATATACTATCTATAAAACATCTTAAATACGAAAAATTATTAGAAATAACATGGTAATGTTTAAACAAGTATTATGATATGCTAATATTCATCTACTTCTAATATTAAACTGCAATTTTTTTAGAGGAAAATAAATAAATATCTTTATTTTTGGTCCCAGATTTCTTTTATGTGAAAATGTTTACTTATAAACGAACGCCAAAACATGACAAAAAGACTGAAAATTATAGCCTTTAAAATACATGTTTTTTAATATAGATATATATCAATTTCAAATTATTTCTCAAATAATACTTATTTATTATAATAAATCATTGCTATATTTCACTGTAATAAAAATTAATTTATTAAATCGGGGACTAATATCGGTGAATTTATTTTTCCATTTCTTATGTAAAATGTGCTACTTTAATGCATGTATGTGATCATGTCAATTTAATATTGATGCACGTTCGCCATACTATATATTTTGCATATTATACCACATTGGTCCATGTCCTTGTGGGATAAGATAAATAAAAAAAACTATATAATGTCCACTTTTAAATGAAACATTTATTTAACTGATTAGTATTATTTTCTTTTTAATCACCTGTTAAATAGTATGAAAAATAAACTTAACTTTTGATTACAATTTGTCAATTTTCATCACCTATCCGCCAACCAATTAACGCATTATGTCATTTTAATCAACCGTTTTAATATTTTTATCATCACGTGTCAATAAAGGTGTGAACAATATTCAAACTAACCAATCAAATCGCTTTATTCTGTCACGTCAAGTCGTATGCGTGTTTGGCAAGATTTGCTCCCTGTCATTACAAGTAATGAGTTGAGAAATATATATAAAGTGGTATTATTTTCATACTCAACATATTGATGGTTTAGCCTACAATAAAATAACCTCTGAAATAACAATAAAATATTACCATTTTTTGCACGATTTTTACGACATTTAGAACCAGAATAATGGATATTTCTTATTCTTCTTTGCCTCTAGTAGACGGAGAAATATTTCAGTTAGATGAGTACGGCAATAAATCTATAAGATGCGACTATGATGGTAAGTATAGTTTCAACCTTTTTTTCGCTTTTCGTTACAACATAATGTTAATATCTGACCAAATATTGAAGCAAAAATGAATAATGAATGTATATGATAACAAATGAAGTAACAAATTTACAACAGCTATTTGAGTTGTTTAAGCGTTGGTATGTGCCTTATAGGAAATTTACAAATTTTGTTACTTTGATATGATTTTGATTTGATTTGAAACATTAATGATTTCACAAGCACAGGTTCACACAAAGAAATATATAAAAGATAAAAACACATTTATATCTCTATAATGTATTTCAAATTGTCATCTCTATTATATTAACCAGTATTATGTATATATTAGAAATTTATATTTATGTTAATATTTGTTATTGCAGACTCATCTTCGGGATACGAATCAACGGACGTGTCCGATGTTGAATCGTTACCATCCATGGAATCACGTGATAATATTGACATGTCACGTGACAGTCGAAATAACTTCTTACCAACAGATCCGGAAGCGGAAGTTATGAACTTTCAGTCTACGCATGCGTTGTGCGAACATCTAAAGCTCATAATATCGATGCCACAAATGTGTGATGTAACATTTCTTGTTGGACCACGTGATGAGCCTGTGCATGGTGTTCGGGCAATTTTGGGCACACGTAGTCGGTAAGAAATTATATATCTAAATACATTGATAATACTGTTTCTGTAAATTTAATTTTTGCATGAAATTATATATCATGATAAATTCCAAAGATGCCTACATTTGTTTCTTAACGTAGAGCCATGCATACATACGCTGTTAACAACCATTTCTATTTAATTTTTTAAATTATTTTTCAGGGTAATGTATCAGCTATTATTAAAACACATGGCAATGACTGACAGGGAACAGGAAGAAAAAACTTCCAAAAAGAAGAAGTCGAAGAAATTCACATGCAACCAACCAATCGGAATCGGTCGGTCTTTATCGCAGAGACTGGTCATTCCCGTAAAGAAATACGACCATGATGTGTTCCAAAAGTTAATTCAATTCATCCATTGCGGTACTGTGAACATCACTGAGGAAACAGTAGCAGGTACGTGAAGTCAAAAATGGAAGAGTTGACATGTATAACCTCTATTGAGCTATACCCTATGGTTGTTACAGATAGGTATTGCGCGAGAGAGGTTAAATAAATTGTAACGTCTTGCTAAAGAATTGTGACTGTTTAAAATAGAGTATTTCTTTACAGGGGACTGCAAACCTCCAGAATATCTGTCACTCATCGAAGATAAACATAGTATTTGATATACCAAGAAAATAAAAACCTATAAAACTCGTTTCAAATAATATCCGCGAAATCTTGCTATTCTAGAATTATATCTTTATGAAACTCACAAGCTTTTGAGGATATCCCGGAGGATTTCTGCATACAAATTGAAAAACATACTCGAGAAACGCGTTTTTGACATAGTTGGTGAAACAGATTGGCTTTTATTTTTTGTCAAGATTTTGAGTCTGTTTTAGTCTGTTAACTTTGCCTCCTTATAGCGAATGTCGTCATTGTCTATTGTAGCAAATAGTTTTCCATTTTGATTTATTTTGTTTTATAATTGCAGGATTATACTGTGCCGCTTTGTACTTTGAGATAGCTGATTTATCGATGGCGTGTCTAGACTTTGTAGAGAGATGTTTGAAAGCTGGAAAGATAGAGACGCTCCTGAATTCAACAAGGTGCTACGGTGAACATAAAAACTCCAGTGTCTTGTTTGATAAGGTAAGATTATTTTATGACAAGTCTGAAGTCTGTGGCTTATTCCTTACTTAACAGAATTGCACTGGCCAATACAAGTTCATCAACATGTCTTTTCAGTATTTCACTGAAAAAATGTTGGCTTTGAATGGTCAATATTTTAAATTATATGCAAAGTATAATATTTCATATAAATATTGTAAATAATACTTTAACATTCGTTTATCTTTATGTAGCTTTACCCTCCATGTCTGAATTTATTTATTTATTTTTTAAGAGATCATGCCTTTGATTATTATATTCAATATTTTGGCGGACATGACCAAAAGCTGCTATTCGCAATACCTTTTCCAGGTGTACGGAAAGACTATTGCAATGATCATTCGTACCTCTGCGGTCATTATCGACATATTCCAGTTAAAAAATCATGAAGTAAATTCTTCAAAAGATCTTGAAATAACATTTAAAATAATGAAGAAGATCTCAGTACACTTTAAGATAACATAATTTATTATTTCAGATATACTCAGTGATGGATGCACGATACGTTACAAAGAATAAGGAAGGGGGAGCAACTCTTGTCTAAAACATTAAGGGGAAACCACCAGTAGTGCTTAAATTATGTAACATATTATTTTGTTGTTTTATTTTTAATTTACATTGACATTGTTGAAAATTTGTTACTACTACTTTAATAAATTATGATATTTACATTTACATAATTACAATGAACATGTATCGTGATTATTGATAATTGATATATTAAATATATTTATTTAAATCTATGTGTGCTTGTATTTGTTGTTTTTTTTTTTTCTTTTATAAATATTTGATTTTATATTTTAAATGATTCATAAATGATTAATATTCATAGCATAAAATATGCTTCAATCGCAAATAAATGCATAGTATCAACTGAAAAAATACGTCTTCTTGCCTTTTTGCACTAAATACATTTATGAACTGGCTTAAAATATTAAACTTTAGAGTATTATTTTTCCTCAGCACAGGAATTTTTTGCTATGATAATTTCTCATTTACATGTCTTTCATGACAATATCTTTGTGTTCTTTTTTTATTGTGATGCAAAGTCGTCTTTGATTAATGTCGTGCAAATCTTTTGACACAAGCATACACAGCAATTGTATTCACTCCAGCTTTGTCTAGATTTGCAACAGCTGTACAACTAAAAAAATAACAGCAACGTGACTTAGAAAGTCCAGAGCTAAATTAGAATCCACGTGCAAATAAAAT